GCCAGATTACAGTGTCAATTCCTATGTCTCCATATGTCTAATACAAATATCACTGTCACTCAAAATGATTTATAAGCTTCATTCAGACGCAATTATCTCCATACCATATATTCTATATATAACAGTGACCTAAATATACTGTCTAATTTTGTCTAAATTTGTGGTGAAGCTTTTCAGATTAACATTTTTTCATTAAAAGATATGTTCTCCTTTATGCTTAGAATTTAAATGTACTAACAAAATTATATCGCACATTAAATTAATACAAAAAATTTCAGATTCATAGTCAATTCTATTTTTGACCATAAAGCAATGCCCTTATATTTGAAAAGTTTCTAAATCTTAGTCTTAGACACTTTCCAAATATAAGGGCTTTGTCAACTGCCCTCGATTTCTGCCTTTGCTGATGTACACTAAAATCTACAATGCCCGCTAGTCACGTAACAGGTAAAAATAAAGGATGCCGGAAAGATTGCTTGATGACTTGAAAAAGTGTCTATACAGAAGAGTTCACACAGTCTAATTAAGTTCTCCTAAAATTGCAAGAAACCGTGAGCTGTAATAGTGAAGACACTTTAAGGCAAGGAGAATAGGAAATTATCCATATTGTTTAGCTATTTAAAATTATTTCATCCAAGAAAGTCTGGTTATGTCTGCCTTAAACCAAATCATATTGTTTCATTTCACAACTTGGGTTAGCAAGAATATGATTACTGTTTAAGAAATTCTTCTCTGTGAAATTGTTCCCTAACTCAGTTATCACCACCATCATTATCCTAGGCCTCTTGTTTAGAAGTATAGACGTTATCTTCAGTCAATCTTGATTTTGTATGACTCCAGGAATTAGAAGTATCTAAAATGAGTGGTATCTGAAGGGAGATCAGGCTATTAAGTGACTAAAATCCAGGTCTTCTGGCTGCTAAGTCATATTCTTTACATTATGCTGTACTAGCTCTTCCGCAATAACTTAAATCTAAGGCTTTTAAAACTAGCAGAGTCAGTATCTCATTTAATCTTGAGATGTAAGCTGAGGCAGACGTAATTATTTCTAACACACGGGACACTGGGTATCTAAGGGACAAAATTCTTTGTTCAAAGATGCTATATCTAATGCCCAGTAATATCTATAAGACATAACTATTGGGAAAATTATTGTGTATAACTGAAATATACTACATTTAGAGTAATGATATCTTTAAATGAGTGTAGTGTATCTGTCGGGTTTGTATTCTGGGAATGGTAAATACTAGACATCTGTACTGCCCTCTCCTTTCCCACTGTTATCTTTTAGCACATTCTTTCCTACTGGAGCTGAACTCAGCCTCAGAATCTTTCTGAACTTACTGCTTCAGAGAGCCCCTATCAGTTGACTGGCACAGTACTCCTGTTTTGACTCTCCTCACTTAGGTCCACATTGTATAACATTTGTTTCTGATGTTTTTCTTTGCTATTTGTTATTAATGGTTCTCTATTATATCATGTTTGTATACACTGTCTTCTGCATGTACAGATTCCTGCTCTTTGCTTTTTAGTTATTTCAGAGCCTCAACTGTAGTAATTCATACACAGTGAATCCTCAAAGTATTCTGAATATACCTGAGACAAACGGATGGTATTTAGGGATAAATCTAAAATTAAAAAAACAAAAACTGCCGTTATTTCCCAATATAATTTAGATCAAGGGTCAGTAGACGTTCACTGTAAAAAGCCAGACAATAAATACAATAAGCTTTGCTACCCAGATGGTCTGCGATGCACCCACTCAACCCCGCCATGACAGTGTGATAGTACCCACAGAAAACATGTAAACAGGTGAGTATGCCTGTGTTCCAATGAAACTATTTATGGACACTGAAATGGAATTTTCATGTCACCAAATATTATTCCTCTTTTGATTTTTTTCTTCCAACAATTAAAAATATATAAAAACCATTGTTAGCTTGCAGGCCATAGAAAATTAGGAGGCAGGCTGAATTTGGTCCACAGACCAGTTTACCAACCCCTGGCCTAGATCTAGAATTGTCAAAGTGAGAGCTTCTGGTAGTCTGCAAGATGTTTTCAGCAAGTTCAATTACCAATGTGTGAGACAAGATTTTCTTTGTGTACATCAAAAAAATAGATACAAATATGAGGATCTAGCTGCCTTCTATTAAACAAGCCAGAAATTGAAGAGACTGGCAAAAAACGTAACCAATGCCACTCTTCTCAATAATTTTTCTTGTATGTTTGTAAAATATAAAGTGGCATTTCATATCAGATACTGTTTACGTTAACATGCAATAATACACTTATTATTTTTAATATGTTAATACTTTAAAAATTCTTCAGTTTTGATTTCTAATATGATAAATGACAGCTGATACAACCAGTAAACAAAAGCTCTCTGGGGGCTCTCAGTAAATTTTAAGAACATGACCACACATGGTGGCTTACACCTGTAATCCCAGCACTTTGGGAGGCCAAGGCAGGGGGATAACCTGAGGTCAGGAGTTCAAGACCAGCTTGGCCAACACGGTGAAACCCCATATCTACTAAAAATACGGAAATTAGCTGTGTGTGGGGCGTGCACCTGCAATCCCAGCTACTTGGGAGGCTGAGGCAGGATAACTGCTTGAACCTGGGAGGTGAAGGTTGCAGTGAGCCAGGATTGCACCACCGCACTCTAGCTTGGGCAACAGAGCAGGACTCTGTCTCAAAAAAAACAAAAAAACAATTTAAGAATGTAAAGGGAGCATAAGACCAAAAAGCGTGAGAACCAGCTGCTGAGCCACAGCGAGATTAACTTACAGCTGGTGCACTGCCAGCAGAGTGTACCTAGGCCTGCCCATGAGACAAAGCCACCTGGGAGACAACTTCATTGCATCTCCATCTTGGCCTTTCCCTACCTAAAAGGTTCCTGGCATTTCTCTGATTAGATCCTGATTGGTCAAATGTAATCCCATACATTTATGTTCTTACATAATAAAATTAGTGAAAATATGGTGGTTATTTTCATAAAAGAACCCTTTGGATCTATGTAGACCATAAAAGCATTTTCGCCTTTACTCTGTCAAAACAGGCAATTATAAGCAAGTCTCTCTCCCTGACCTTATTTTCTAATCTTTAAAAACAAAAAAATTATTATTGCTATTCCCTGCCGCCAGCACATATCTCAAAATAGATTCATTAGCTCATTTATATATCATTGTGTATCTTTGACCTGGCTACACAAATATTGTGGGAGCCTAGTCCTAATTAGAACCCACACAGCAGTGTTAAATCTAAAGAAAGAAAATCCACTAGACATGATACAAGTTCAATTAACAGTCAATTAATGTTGCACTAAAATTACATTTTACAAGTAAGGCATACAGATCTTATAGAGTATTTTTAAAAGTATTAATATTTTGCTTGTTCTGTCATTTGAAATCTATAAACTTTTTAAAATAAAATTCTAGGGGAAATTTTTATTTTAATTATTTTAGGGGAAAGTTATTTTAATTCCAGTGTTACAATATACAGGGAAACCTTATATAAGGAAGTATTTCTTTCAATATAAATACACACAAGGTTTGACTGTCTATACAAATAATGTGTACTGGTGGCTTGAGGAAACATTTTCTTCCCCCCACCCCCATTTTAGAGATATTTAAGAAATAATAGCTACGATTTCAACATGTATCATTTTCTTGAACTAAATATTTTTAATTAGAAAGTGTTTCTCCATGAGTATATGATTCTAAAATTCTTCATCATTTAAATTATGGAATAATAACTTTGTGAACAAGAACAAAAGGAGAAAATTAATATTTTTGAATATTTGTCCTTCAACCAGTATTGCAAAATTTCTTAAAAATCAGAAATCATGATTGGATGCGAAGTCTGCCACAATTTATGAATACTGGCTCCAAACAGTCAAATAAAATACATTTGACTACTTAGACCAACACCAAAACTGAAATTCACTTTGAAAAATTACACATATTTATTTGACAGAAAACTTTTGCATTTAATAAATAAATATTAATAACTGATACATACGTTAGTTCAAAATATTTTCACTAAGCACCATATAGAATAGTTCCTAGTCCTTTCACTGAGAACGCCTTTGAAAAAAATGCCTAAAACAATCAGTTTACTTAGGTTTTTAATCAAGAAATCTAAAACTGCCAATCAGAGTTTCTAATTACCATGAGATGACCAGGTAAACAACCTGGAGGTCATATAATGTGAGCTTTTAACAGCTTTGTTTAACCTGTACATCCCAACCGAGGGAATTTGTTGGCCTCAGGCTGGTAATCGCAGGTCCATGTGCCAGATACTATATACACACACACACACACGTCACTGAGTAATAAGTATCACAGATAAGAGATAAAGATTATATGGCCCATGTATATTTAAGGGGAATAATGTCTAGTTCTCATGGCTATACAATTAATTCACTAGCATCTTTAAGATCAGAAAGCCACCGGCAAATTATTATCTCTTTGGGGTATTATTAATCATTTTAGGGAATCGTGAAAAGTACATTAGAAGGATGTTGGGAGCTGTGATATTCAAAAAAGAACAAAAAATAGACTTAAAATTTGGGGAAAATGCTTACTGGTTAAATCTACAGTAAAAACAAAAGTCTCATCATGATTGCAAAACATTCCAAATTGTGAAACTTATTTGTACAATAGACAAAAGTGAAGCAGCTTCCTCAGTCATGTTTTGAGATCTCAGCATCAATTTCAAGAAAATGCTTATATTTAAAAGAAAGCCTATTTCAAAATGCGAATCCCTACATTAAGCACATATAAGGACACGAAGTAAATTTATGTCTCCTATCATACAACATTCCTGCTCAGTGTGTAAACGAAGGTGATGGGAGACTAAAGTTAGAAAAGGGAAAAGGCTGTTTGCGTCACTATTCAATTCTTTAAGAAATACAAGAGTCTCAATCCTAAAAGAAGCAAAGACTGTAGGACTAAATAGATACTATGTAATGTGAAAAAATCAATTTTACATAAAATTGGTATGCGGACCACATGGAAGAACGAGAAAAGAAAGGGCATATGTGCTTTACTGTGCAGAAAAGATAACATTATTTCTGGTGGGCGTGGTGGCTCAAGCCTGTAATCCCAGCACTTTGGGAGGCCGAGGCGGGTGGATCACGAGGTCAAGAGATCGAGACCATCCTGGTCAACATGGTGAAACCCCGTCTCTACTAAAAATACAAAAACATTAGCTGGGCATGGTGGTGCGTGCCTGTAATCCCAGCTACTCAGGAGGCTGGGGCAGGAGAATTGCCTGAACCTGGGAGGCGGAGGTTGCAGTGAGCCGAGATCGTGCCATTGCACTCCAGACTGGGTAATAAGAGCGAAACTCCGTCTCAAAAAAAAAAAAAAAAAAAAAATTTTTGTATACCAAAAAATTAAATTCCTGCTCCAATTTTTAAGTCAAAATTATGTCCACTAGAAAACCTGAATGTAATAGTTTATTAAGAAGGCAACAAATTTTAAAATCACATGGAATTTACACTACTACAATGCTAAAATGGATCAAGGAGATTTTGGTCCATAGTTGAGAAGACAAAAGTGGTCTTCTGAGAAAACACAGCTAATATTACTCCAAAGCAGCACAACCAGAATCAAAGTATGGTTATTTTAAAGCTTGGCACAGCAGTTTAAAACTCGAAAACTACCACTGTTATTTAAATAAAATAGTTTTCAGTTTTATTTTGTTTTCCCAATTCCCCTCCCCAGCAATGGGACAAATACATAAACCCAGCTGCTGGGAAATTTTCAAGAGCACTTTGTGGAAACTGTTGGCTTTCAGAAATGGACGGGCTGTTTTGAACCAAAAATTAGACGAAATACAGAATTACAACAACACTAAAAAGCAACTTAGAAAGAGGATCAAGCCAAGCAGATAAGCGAACTTTATAAAATCAGTTTTCTGGAGCTATTCATCAAGTCAGTTCCCTAATTTCAAAAAGCCGAACCAAAGCAAAGCATGTTGACTTACATTGCTTCTTTAGTTCTTTCAGCTGTTGTTTAAACTGTACAAATTTTTCATTATTTTGAAAGTCTGCATCAGAATTCTTGTTCTGTAAGGCCAAAAATTTCTTCTCCACCAATAATTTTAAATCTGGTATTTTCTCTGGGCGTTCTTCTTTTACCTAAGGGAGACAACAAAATTACCTGAGTTAAATGCTAAAATAATAGTGTTAACAAAGTTTTGCAACATTGTTTTTATCTTAGATAATTCAAAGCAAAAGATAGTGAGGATGAAAACAATCTCTTGAACAAAGCACCAAAGAGGTTGGGACATGTTCTAGGACAGACTGCTGGCAAATACTGAAGGGAATCATTCATGCCAACTTGCCAACTACTCATTCTATTTTTGCTTCCTTAAGCTGGTGGCCCTTCAATGATCCTACTAACTTGTTTTTGTTTTTGTTTTGAGATGGAGTATTGCTTTTGTTGCCCAAGCTGGAGTGCAATGGCATGATCTCAGTTCCCCGCAACCTCCACCTCTGAGTTCAAGCTATTCTCCTGCCTCAGCTTCCCGAATAGCTGGGAGTACAGGTACGCACCACCACACCCAGCTAATTTTGTATTTTTAGTAGAGATGGGGTTTCACCATGTTGACGAGGCTGGTCTTGAACTCCTGACCTCAGGTGATCCGCCTGCCTCAGCCTCCCAAAGTATTAGGATTACAGACGTGAGCCACCGCACCTGGCCTAATCCTACTAACTTGTGGTCTTCTGGTAACTACCAGGGAAAATCACAAATGTGGCAACTTCACCAGACCTGAGCATTAGCACCCAGGTCTGCTGAGTCCTCTTTCACACTCACCAGTGGTTATTTCAACCTTCATGCTCAACAATCCTTTTTTTTGGCCCTCCACCCAAGCATGTGAGAGTCACTTCTACTTTACAAAAGTGGCTGGGGCTTTAACCTTGACTTTCCCTAATGTCCTGTCATGCCAAGGAGTAAGTGCCCTCCGGTTCTGTTCAAGGTTAAATTATCAACTCATGTTCTTCTCTACCCCCAAAATCATAAAATTATTTCTTAATATTATAAATTTTCAAATATGCAGAAAAGTTGAAGTATATTGTGAAGACTCATTCATCTACTTCCTAGATGCCACGATTAACATTTTGCTCTGTGTATGTTATCACATATCTATCCATGTATCTCTCTATCCATTCTCAACCCTGTTCTTAATTACATCTTCTTCATCTCCTTTACAATGAACTTTCCTCTCTACAGCCTCTTTCCCCACGAACCTTTACAGAGGCTCTTCACACCCATACTTTAAAACAAACAATCTCTTATCATCCTGGCTCCCTGCTCCCGGTTATTTTCTGTTCATATTCCACTTCGTTGGGGGGAAAAAGGAGCCACCCTTTCCACTTTCTCATCCTCCAGCTTTAGCCACTATAGTCAAGCTGCTCCCCACCACTTCGCTGCAGCTGCTCTGCATCGGGCCTTCATAATTGCTCCCTTTCATTACTGGCCCTTTCCTGATGTTCCTGCTGTCAAGCAAAACTCACCTATTGTGCCCTCATACACTTAAGACAGACCTCTACCACCACTCCAGTAATATTTGATTGCTTATTTTTATGCCTCTTTCTCCTAACAAAGTGTAAACTCCTTGAAAGATGTCTGATTTATCACAGTATTACCAGTGCCCAGCACAAAATAGGAAGTACTCAACACGTATTTCAAATAAGTTAATCTTATTAGTTCCAAATATACTTACACACTAAAAGCCACAATTTACTGGCTGCCATTATTATTAGAACACAGTACAATTTCCAGGCTGGAAGACAGAATAGAGATAATCTAATCTTAATCTCCTCCCCCCAGTTTCACAAATAAATAAAATGATTTAGAAAGAAGTCAAATGACTTATCTTCTATATCCAACTAGTCAGAGGTAATGCAAAGACTACAAGTTAGATACAGAAAATTCCAGATTTTGGTTAGAGTCAGTGGGATATATTTCTAATCTCTCTGAATCTGAGTTATCAATGCATATGAAGTCAAAAGATTATCTGCAAAGTATCTGCTTTAACTTTTGCCATAGAGGAAAAAAAATATAATCTTCTTTTGCTTAATTGCTATGCATTTTGATTACTAAACAGAAAATGAGAATTAAGCATGAAACCAAAATGTCTAAAATTTATATTTATAGTAGAGTGTAGGAACTGACTGCCTTCTTGTATTGCTAACCCCCAAGTGCTGGATTCACCATTAAAGAGAGTTGTAGAAACATGGAGAGGCTTTAATGACAAGTGCTATATGTGATTAAGGATTTAACAGAAGTTCTGTAAGGCTAAATAATAAAACTCAATTTGGAAAAGAGAAGATAGAAAGGCAATTTAATTATGTCTAACATCTCAAGAATAAGAGCTACTGGCCAGGCGCACTGGCTCATACCTGTAATCCCAGGACTTGGGAGGCCCAGGCAGGTGGATCATGAGGTCAAGAGAGTAAGACCATTCTGGCCAATAGGGTAAAACCCCATCTCTACTAAAAATACAAAAATTAGCTGGGTGTGGTGGCATGTGCCTTTAGTCCCAGCTACTCGGGAGGCTGAGGCAGGAGAATCGCTTGAAGAGGCGGAGGTTGCAGCAAGCCAAGACTGCGCCACCGCACTCCGGCCTGGCAGCAGAGCAAGGCTCTGTCTCAAAAAAAAAAGAGCTAGTATACATGTGACTAACCATCCTCTACCTCTACATAACAGAACAAGATGCGAGAAGTTCAAAATCATAGCATGAAGAATTGAGAGTAGACCTAGAAAATAAATTGCTGGTTCTTAGCAAGGATTATAGGCTGTCTTTCTGGATTTATGAAATAAAATGGACTCACATCCACCCAAGATATTAACGGTAACATAGGAAGGCATTCAGGTGAGCCTTGACAAGGTGTTATCTGTCTGAAATTATTACGTAATCTGGGATGGTCTAAGCAGATACGTAAAATCTGAGTGTTGTTTTCCAACAAAGTCTCTAACACAGTCAACCTACTTAACTCCCACAGTTCCACTACAACCACTGCTGAGGAGGTGAAGACTGAGTAGGGGGTGTGGGCAGTCAGGATGGAGGGGAGAGGCATTTTGAGGTCTGACAACATGACAACCTGAAATATGATAGAAAAAGCTGAATATACCACATTTTTAGTGATTCACTGTGTTTTTCCCCCAAAACCAGAACCTTTAGAAAACTGCTGTTTTTCTAAACAGCAGTTTAGAAAAGTGCACATAAATTCACTGCTGCAAATGTCTTCTCTGCAGGTTTGATGCTGCAGTCTGCAGGGCCATTCATTGCAAAGAAATCTTACTGTATTCTAGCTATCAAAATGAAATTAAAAAAAAAATTCAACTCAGTATCTGTTTAAATCAGTAAAATAAATGGGCACTATTTTTTTTAATGATTTCTTGCTTTGTTTGAATATCTAAGAGACATAGATTATTGAGAGGAAAAAAATTGAATGGCTGATTATGTAGTATGAAAAAGATGAAGATGACTCTCTTTTCCTAAGAGAATTTTTTTTTTTTTAATTAAAGAGACAGGGTCAGGCTCTGGGTCATCCAGATTGGAGTACAGTATTGTGATCATAGTTCACTGTAACCTTGAACTTCCTTGGACAAATTTCAAATACCTCAAAGAAGTTTGAGATGAAAGGAGAGGATCTATTAGATTAGGTCCATCCTTTTCCCAAGAATAGTCTCCCCAGATACAGGACTTAGAATCTCAGTGAATTAAAAGATACCAGATCTATTAATTTACTAACAAAGTATCACAGACTAGGTAGCTTAAACAACAGAAATTTCTTTTGTCACAGTTCTGGAATTAAGAAGTCCAAGATCAAGGTGTCAGCAGGGTTGGGTCCTACTGAGGTGTCTCTCTTTGGTTGGTAGGTGGTATCTTTCTCTGTGTCATCACATGGCCCTCCCTCTACACAGGTCTGTGTCCAAATTTCCTCTCACAAACACATCAGTCATATTGGATGAAGGCCCACTTACTGACCTCATTTTAACTTCATGATTTCTTTAAAGACCCGATTTCCAAATTCTGAGGTCCTGGGGGTTAGGACATCAA